GTATGTGTGGGGCGGAGCTATCAAAATAGGGGCGAGACCCTTTTGGGGTAGGGGCGTGTTTGTTTTGATGATTTCAAATGTCAACATTGGCTACCAGAAATCGCTTACCCCACCTTTAAATCAAGGTGATTTACCATGGTTTTGCTACACTAACCATAGTTTAACCATGGTATGTGTAGTAAAACTGTGGTCATACAGATGTTAGTCAATCTAAAAAATGGTTACTACACTTTTGCTATAATAAAACCATGGCTAATATTTGTAAGGGAGGGCACAGATCCAAGGATAACAGATTTGTTTGTCTTCCAAAGTCTTATTAATGCATATTTATTCAAGGAGTCCCATTCTGATGGTCAGACTGTTTGAAATGACTCAACAATCAAGTTCGCTTATTTACAAAAGCAAAGCGTCAGTTGAAGGGTGAAATCAAACTTGAGAGAGTTTTTGAACATATCATTTTAATGACTCGCTCTTTATTTATTTATGGATGCTGGACCAGCTGTAGACCACAGTTATTCAGATCTGTGACAATGAAAAACAAATAAAAACACAAGACTCTTCTGAAGACACAAGGCAAGCAAAAGCAAAATCCAGGCATGACGGATGGACACCTGTGTGATATAGGAAGACAGAAAGAGATAGATCAAGAACTACTGCAGCTGTGAGGAAACCAAGAGAAAACAGGAGCACCGTCTGCACCGTATTCAGACAGAATAGTCCAGCAACAAGAACTAAATCTTATCAGCTCCCTTCACATATTAATATAAATATATCTGTGGGAGTCAGTAGAGAGGCAGAGTTCTTGTATATTGTGGCAGCTGGCCTTGTAAGTTATCATCAAATCTGCAGTTAAGATATAAAGAAAACAGATGGTGCAGACTGATCTATGAGCCTTATTAGAAATACAAACATCATTGTTTTATGTGTCTGGTTAAAGACACGGTTATATTAAAATACTACACTAACACTACGACTTTTTTTTTCTCACTACAAATTCATTTGTGATCAATGATTTGGAAATCAATACATTCTGTATATAATAATTTCTATGACATAAAAATGAAAAAAGTTTTTTGGGAATTTTTTTTGAATAAAATAAGACAAAAAATGGACTGTAATGTTAAGATGCAATGGGTCATTAGAAAACAGCGCCACATTCAGGACAATAAAGGCATTAATTCAAGAACCAGCGTACTTGAGTAGAATGGAAGTTTATTTGTGCGTTAAAAGACAGTCGAAGGGTTTTACACCGTTATGTACATATCAGACGATTGCATTTCAAAACTTGGCATCAGTTCCTGTGCTGCACGTTATTACATTGTGGGGCAAATGACAAAAAGTGGCATGCGGAAGGTGCAAAGTTAACAATCAATCACTTAACATCAGGGAAATCTTTTAATATTATGTAGATGGTAACAGATTTGCACCAAACGTGCACAAAATAACCAGGAGGAAGCAACTGCAGATTGCTGTAAGGAGGACGTGTTACGACATCCAGCAGGTCCGGCTCATAAGGATAATCCTCACAACACATTCACTGGATTATCAAATATGAACGCATATCAGAGCAACCGGACGATACACAACCTTCTGAGAAGAGACCAAAACTATTTAACATGGAGTGTAACTAGAACCCTCCTCTGAGTCGCATACACATCAAGCTGCTCAATAAAGGGTGTACGAGCAGTGAAATGAACAAATGAAACGGGTTAATGATCCTCTAGCAGTGGATCTGTGTGCAGGGCTTCTGTTGAGGTGACTGGAGGCAGCACAGGAACCGATGGCCAAACAGGCCACTAAACATCAGTCTCTTCCTCTGGCTCATTACCCACAAATCTTCAAGATGGATGTTTGAATCTAGGATCTGGACTGGATGTTATGGAAGCCCATTTCCGCCACGGAATAAAAAAATTCTTTAAAAAAAAAGGTTATTGCGACTTTTTCTTTCACAATTCTGACTTTTTTTCTCAGAACTGCGTGATATAAACTCACAATTGCAAGTTATAAAGTCGCAATTGCGTGATATAAAGTCAGAATTGCATGTTATAGTCAGAATTGCGAGAAAAACTCACAATTCTGACTTTATAACACGCAATTGCGACTTTATATCTTGCAATTTTGACTTTCTCGCAATTGCGTGATATAAACTTGCAATTGCGAGTTATAAAGTCACAATTGCGTGATATAAACAATTGCGAGATAAAAACTCGCAATTCTGACTTTTTTTCTCGCAATTCTGACTTTATAACACGCAATTGCGACTTTATAACACGCAATTGCAAGTTTATATCACGCAATTTTGAGAAAGTCAGTATTGTGAAATAAAAAGTCGCAATTACCTTTTTTATTGTTTATTCAGTGGCGGAAACGGGCTTCCATAGGATGTCCTGGAGGGCTCGAGCTCTAGATGAAGCCAAGCATGTGGCGAGGTTCATATGTTGAAGCTTTCCCCGCAACCACACGTCCCTTTGATGTTGGGATTGTTGAACACGAACTCGCTGGAAAGTTTCGTTTCGACGAAATCCATCTCTGTGCCGAGCAGCGTCAGCTGAGCCTTCTTCTCTATGAACACTCTCGCGCCTGGAGAAACACAGAACAAACATCGTATCAGTGACACGTCTGTGTGCGTATGCGCAATTTACATAATATACACTACTCAAGAGTTTTAAGAATGCTTAAAAATGATCAAAGCCGGCAGTACAGGCATTTTTAATGCTACAAAAGATTTCTCTCTCAAATAATAGCTGTTCTTTGCACTTTCTATTAATCAAGGAATCCTGAAAAAAATGCATAAAAATACTGTTTTCAGCATTGAGCAGCAAATCAGCATATAATGATTTCTGAAGGATCATGTGACACTGAAGACTGGAGTAATGATGCTGAAAATTCAGCTTTGATCACAGAAATAAATTACATTTTACAATATATTCACATAGAAAAAATATATTTGAAATTATAATAATATTTCACAATATTGCTGTTTTTTCTGGATTTTTAATCAAGTAAATGCAGCCTTGGTGAGCAAAAGAGATTTCAAAAACATTGAAAAATCTCCAAACTTTTTTTTGCGAACAGTAGTGTGAATGAGATGTAATGTTGTAATTGCGTCACTCACCATCTTGTAACACCTCCTCGTCTGATTTGTCTTTCTCTTTAGTATAGTCTAGTGTGTACGTGAGGCCATTGCAACCTCTGGTTCGAACGCCAACCTTCAGGCCGATCTGTTTGAAGACGTGTAAATATATAATTCAAAAAATCAGACAGGAATAAAAAAATATATCACTGAGTCTGCAGATGTTAATGACTAATAATAAAACTAATACTCACATGATCTGGTTTATTCTGTAAAAGTTGTTTGACTTTATTCACGGCTGAAGGCGTCTGAGAATAAAGAATGAAGAAAATACACTCAGTGATTATTTATGACAAATGAATGGAAGCATGGCATTATAATGATTCGACAAAATCATTATGATAAAACACTCTCACACTGTAAAAAATGGCCGTGAATTTAACGGTAAAAGACTGTAAAAATGCTACAGTAAAAACCTGTTAAATGGTTAACGGTAAATTCCCCTACTATATACGGTGAAAAACTCTATTGGACATTCATTTTACGGTAGTATACCGTTTTTGGAAGTGAAAAACACCGTATAATGTACAGTGAATAACCGTAAATTGACATTCCCAGAATTCCCTGCTTTACATTTCTAATTTGATGTTTTTTTGTTGAAATAACTATGTTTCTTCTTAGTTTTTTCTTATCAGTTTTGTATATTAGGATTGTGTGTTACACCTAATGTTGTTAAATGAATGTTTACTGCATTATTTCAGTTTCATGTGTGTCACCATGATGGTGTTTAGTGTTTGTGTGAACGACACTGTGCACCTTCTATATATGTTATTATTTAAAAGCTGCTTGTGATGGGCTTTGGTTCATCATGTGACTTTCTCATCACCACCTGCATTTGGTGGTTATCAGTGTATTACAAAGGTACAAAACAGATTTCAGTACTTCAATAGGTTGGTATATTAACATTATATCAGTTAATGAAATTACGGTATTTAACTGTAAATTTAAGTTAAAACTGTAAAACCTAAAACGTTGCTACCGTATTTTTTACGGTAAAATTCCGGCAACCACAACTGCCGTTTTTTTACTGTAAATTTTACGGAATTTTTTTCACTGGATCAGTATCTTTTCAAAAAGTACACTTTTATACGTTTTTTACCCCTAAAGTGTGCATATTAGTTCCTAAAATGTACATGGGTCAAAGACAAAAAAGGGTTTAAGCATAAAAACAATAAGTATAATACTGCTTTAAATTGTTGGCATAAAGTCACTATTTTCATTTAGCCTGTGATCTCTCACAAAATCTGTCAAAAATCTAAATCTAGCTTTAGGCAATTATTTCATATTTAACTACTGATTTAGACTTTAACCCAACTACTCTATTGGACAATCTCACCATACAACCCCCTGTTCATTTTAACTACTATTTTAACTTAGTTTTAGTTTAAAGTTTAATCATTTTGTCATTCAAAGCAATACTTCTTTAAATTGTTTTTGTTTTCCCCCCCCAAAAAAAAAGTTTTCTGTTTAATTGCAATTTTGTTTTTGTTTTTCTGAACAAAAAATAAATATCATAAATTTTTCCCTGATTTACAGAAGACACCCAGTAAAATGTCATTCAGTGTAACAAACTTGTCAGGCATATTTACATCAAAAATCAATTTATGACATATTAAAAGACTAATTACTTTCACCCCAAATACTAATTAGTTGTAATTTTACATTTTTTAAATTTGCCACTATCCTAGGTTTTGCCCATTGGTCAGTAAGAATTTTTTACTCATTTAACACAATCAAATTTAATATGCTCCCTTATTCTTTTATACATTTTAATATGTACAAGTCAGAATAAGCATGTTGTTTGAATTTTTACATATATATTGTGTTACACTGAATAACAATGTAACATTATTTCAACCAAATTTTGACATTTTATTCTCCAAAAACGTATTTAAAACCTTAAAAGTAGACACTTTACTTACATTTTACGTGCTTTCTATGGACATAAAATCACTTTTGTAAATGTATTTTTATGCGGACATCTTAAAGGAACACTTCACTATTTTTGAAAAACGGCTCATTTTCCAACTCCCCTAGAGTTAAACAGTTGAGTTTTACCGTTTTCGAACCCATTCATCCAACCTCCGGGTCTGGCGGTACCACTTTTAGCTGTTGCTTAGCATAGATCATTGAATCTGATTAGACCGTTATGCATCTCGCTCAAAAATGACCAAAGAGTTTCTATATTTTTCCTATTTAAAACTTGACTCTTCTGTAGTTACATCGTGTACTAAGACCGACGGAAAATGAAAAGTTGGGATTTTCTAGGCTGATATGGCTAGGAACTATACTCTCATTCCGGCGTAATGATCAAGTAACTTTGCTGAGCCTATTTTCAAAAATAGTGGAGTGTTCCTTTAATGTCTTTGACCCACATATTTAGTATCTAAAAGGTACCGCTCCAGTGACCGATTTTGTACCTTTTTTTCTGAGAGTGAATTGTCACTTGAGAAAGAAACGTTGGTTCCATATCAAAGTCCTATATATATAGCAAACTTAAATAAGACGTCTGAGCTTCCTTTGACAATAGCGGACTAGCATACCAACATGCATGGGATAGTCAGTAAACCTCCAGGCTGATAACCGGAAAGTTGCTGGTTTAAGGCCTTTAAAGCAGCACTATGTAACTTTTGTCGCTCTAGCGGTTAATAAACAGAACTGCACACATCCCGCGGAAGAACATTCCAACCGGAGCTACTTCTCTAAGTTTATGTCTCTGGCGATTCACGCAGGTATGTGTTACTCCGCAGCGGTGACGACCCGACCAGGCTACAATAGTCCAAATATAAGTACTTATTACTAGACTTGTGCCGGTTTTCGGTAATGCGATATATGACGGTAATGAATATGCACAATATTGTTATCGTGGGCACTTCTAAATACCGTGAATAATTATATATTACAAATTATTCCGAATTTTGAATGCATTTTA